CTGGTGATACTGATATTGTTCGTGATTCAGCATTAAATAAAATTATGCAAAAAGGTACTAATTATAGAATCAATCACAAGATTGATAGCAATACTCTAGCCACTTGGATATATGATACCACCAAAAACCTAATTAGACAATATTCTAGACATTACAATATTACTGCAGAAATTAAAACAATAATGGAAAACTACTTAAAATCCACACTCATCAAAAGACTCAAACCCTTGTTATATAATAATGATTATAAGGTAGATAAACTTTTAACAACCATAACAGACATAATAAGAAACTAAGGGAAAATTTTGTTATATGTCCTTTAGATAAAGCCAAAAACAACTATGGTATTATATGTTTGAAATACTATCTTACTACTATTCTGAAAGAAATGGGCATACATATTAAGAATAGCGAAGTAATTTTTTCAAATAATATCACATACGAATTATATACTAGAGAATCTGGAACAAGTATCATTGACAGACATACTATTTTTTGTAAAGCCAATAATATTCCAACTTTTTCAGATAGTAGTATTCCTATTATATATGGACTACCTAAATTACATAAAAACCCGGTTAAATTTAGATTTATTACAGGAGCAACACACAGTAGCATCAAATCATTATCGCTTGAATTAAAGCACATTTTCAATTTTATTAAAACTCATTTTAGAAGATATGTACAAGCCATTAAGGTACGTAATCGTAATTTTATTGGTTTTTGGTCTATAGACGACATAATCATTAGTGATAAGTTAAAAAATCTTAGAGTTAGTAATCCTATTCTCGGCTGACTTTACCAACATGTTTACCAATTTGCCTCATAACATAATTAAGAATAATATTAAAGAGATATTGAAGCTATGCTATAATAACGCTAATATTAGGCTGGAAACTAAGTTTTGCAACTGGTTTCATAACTTCACTCTCTTTGGATATGGCGCACCCAAACTTTGGCATTCTGTAGAAGGCAATGTGAGCTACAAGCGAGCACAAATTGTCTAAATTTTAAACAAGAAATAGAAAAGTTTCAGGCGTTTTTCGAAAACTAGTAGAATTTAAGAATTTTTGGGGTTTCGAGCTAAAATGAAGCCTTTTGCAGCCTGGACCATGCGCAGTAATCCGGATTCGTCTACAAATTATTGCTGGAGGTTGACTCCCTTAGCCTAGTAAGAAAGAAACAAAATTTAAGGGCATGTCGAGATTTGGCGTTCCTCATAAAGTCGAACGAGTCGATGTACGCAAGAGCTGCTGGAGACGACCGTCAATAAATAAAGAGTCCGAAGCTCAAATTTCGCCGATACTTTACATAGTAAGGTTATTTGACCTGCCAAACGCGAATATCACATTCACTTGTTGAATCAACGCCTTTTTCCTTGTTTAGGGTGAGACCCCATATCGTACACCTACAGTAATCCTACAAAAAAGCCCTTATCACGCAATTTCACTATCGTTTTCGTAATCAGCATGTCGGATAACACTCCTATGCCAAGTTTCAGCCAAATCCGTCAAACTTTGAATTTTTCCCCTTCATACCGTGCACCTACCGAAATCCTCATTGCGACATCAGAATTTGGTAGAACAGCAGCTGCGCTTGTAGCTTACGTAATAACCAACGTAGTGGCAAAATTTGAGTGCGCCATGTTGAGTGAGAGGGAAGTTATGAGACCAGTTGCAAAACTTAGTTTCCAACCTAATAAATCATACATTGCATACAATGGTTATAATAAAGTATACTATACTGACAAAAATAATAGTAATAACAACCGCACTAGATACTATAAAATATCTGACTTACTTTATTTTATTGATTACTTACTTGATAACAGCTTCTGTCAATTTTGTGACACTATCTTTAAACAAAAAAGAGGAGTTCCTCAAGGCGGAAGCTGTAGCCCACTTTTGGCAGATCTCACTTTATCTTGGTATGAATATAAGTTTTCTAAAAACATCACCACAAATATTAACATATATCCATTCAGATATATGGATGACATACTGGTTATCTATAACTCAGATATTAATCTAAAAGACATTTTAGAAGAAGTTTATGATAATCAACTCTTACTAGAATCTACACACATTGACGATTACCATTGTAATTACCTAGATCTCCATATAAGTATTAGTAACAATCACATTACAACCAAAATGTATAATATTAGGTCATTCCGAAAGTAATTTCGCTTTTTTCAAAAGGGCGCCGCGTCTGATGGAACAAAGGTTTCTAAGAGATCTTAGAAGCATTCGATGCAGCATCTCATTCTCTTTCTAATGGTTGTAAAATTGTTGCAAAACAGTCGATGAGCTTTCAGAAAATAACCAAAATCTGCGACCCATGCTTTTTGAGATGGTCAAGTTTCACAATTTTTTAAACCTCTCATTTCAATCCTCAGAAGGAGTTTAAGTAACGATTCGATAGAGTAAACCTTATAGAACACAGCGCTACTTTTTTCCTTTTTTCGTAGCTCGCCGTAATTTTTTAAAAAAATTTTAACGGAACCATCGGATTTTGGCAGGCCCACCTCAACCAAAGTCGCATCAAACATCATAATTTTTCGGAATTTGAGACTACCAAGATGATACTATGCGTTAGCATTAATTTTACAAAGCAAGTGAGGGTTTACGGGTTCGAAATATCAAATTTCGAGTAATCGAATACAGTTTGGGGCTCGTTAAAAAAATGAGTTAGGATGATTTTATCCCCGAAAACTAAATGAATCGGAAACAAAAAACGCCCATTAGAAAGAGGAGAAAAATCTGCATCGAACGACAACCGCGCTGCTCAAGGTTTGATGTTCTACAAGGATTTAGCTGTCCAAGTATGGAAATCGGTAGCTTCAGTTAAAATTCTGTTAAAAATGTATGACAAGTTATAGAAAAGAGAAAAAAATTGCGCTGTATTCTATGAGTTTTGCTCTATCGGAGCGTCACTTGAATTTCTTCTGAGAATTGATATGAAAGTTTTAAAAAATTGTGAAACTTGACCATCTCAAAAAGCATGGGTCGCAGATTTTGGTTATTTTCTGAAAGCTCATCGAATGTTTTGCAACAATTTTACAACCATTAGAAAGAGAATGAGATGCTGCATCGAATGCTTCCAAGATCTCTAAGAAACCTTTGTTCCATCAGATGTGGCGCCCGTTTGAAAAAAGCGAAATTACTTTCGGAATGACCTAATAAAACCGATGACTTTAATTTTTCAGTTAAGAGATTCATAAATGTGAATTCCTGCATTTCAATAAGGATTAAACAGGCTTAGTTTACACAGAAAGCTTACGAATTGCTAGAACATGTTCTAACTTTGAAGATTTTTCTAATAGAGTCCAAAGTCTCTATCACACACTTTTAGATAATGGGTATGATAAATCATTCATAGTCTCATGCATTTTTAAAATGTTAACCAAAAATAGATTTGTTTTTTATAAGTACAATTTGATAGCTAACGATAAAAATGTATTCGACAAAGTTAAATCACTCTTGATATGAATATTCCATTTCACACACACATACACACATACACACAGACACACATACACATACACACACACACACACACACACACACACACACACACACATACATACATACACACACACAAACACACACACATACACACACACACATACACACACACACATACACACACATACACACCCACACATACACACACATACACACACACACACATACACACACACATATATACACACACACATACACACACACACATACACACACACATACACACACATACACACACATACACACACACATACACACACATACATACACACACATACACACACACATACACACACACATACACACACACATACACACACACATACACACATACACACACACATACACACACATACACACACACATACACACACATACACACACACATACACACACACACATACACACACACATACACACACACATACACACACACATACACACACACACATACACACACACATACATACACCTCCGAACAACAATGCTCTAAGTTAATGCTATTTAGTTACCAGACAATATGATTATACTCATGCTCTATTGCAAATATAATTTTAAATTTACCGCTCAGCCTTTTTTGACTGAGTATTATATCTGACTGTCCGGAAAATAATGTCGCTTTTTGTTTTATCAGGCAATATCGCAGCAGGGTGCGCACGAGAGTATGTGAATGGGGTATCAACCGATAGATCAGAGCAAGCTCTACAAAATGAAGCTCGAACCTTCGCGCCAGGTTTGGTTTGCGTGAAGTTTGGAGCCAAATTTCACAAGGCACTCACGATCCGAAAAAACGAAAAAAACCGTATCTCCGTTCAGAGAAGTCCTGAGGACCCCTAACTTGCTCACGCATGGACTCACTATACGAGACAGTCGTGCGCGCATTTTCGCGGTTTTTCCATGGCTGAAAATTGAGAAAACCAAATTTGGCATGTTTCTGCCAAAGCAATCCTGAGCATCTCTCACATGGGTGATTCTGTAGCATAAACCTTTAGGTGTATAACCATGAATTTTGAATTTTTTTAGACAAGCGCTAGTTTTCGAGAAAAATCAAATTGTTTGCAAAAAACCCGAAAAACACGACATATTCGCACTTTTGACCTCTTTTTATTTCTCGTACTGTAGCCATGGAAAAATACCAAAAACTATACAGGTGAATGTCTAGTGTGGATGATACATGCCTGTGCAAATTGGAGATCCCTAAGACGTCTGTGAACGGAGATACGATTTTTTGGGCGTCTGAAATTTTTTATACTTTGGATTCGAACTACAGATGGAGCAAGATCTCCGCGGAGATTTGTGAACTAGCTTGTAGAGCTTGCTTTGCTCTATCGAATGATACCCCATTCGATGTTTTTTGTGGTCATTCTGTCGCGGTAGGATGCCATGCGACATTATTTTCCGGACAACCTAATATTTGCTAATTGATTGACAACGACTGCATTTAATTATACAGCCCTCTTCCTATTCAAACATATGCGCTATTCCCAAGGACAAGGATACAAGGACTCCACACAGGTAAGTTATTTTATTTTATTATTTAAATTATACAAACAGCCCTCCTTCCTTACTGAGGAGTTCCGGGGAGGGCTATAAAACATTCTTTATCTCCGTGTAAGGGTAGGAACGAAGCGGAGCTTTGTTTTTATTTTTTAATTTGTAATACTCACAATTACATTTCCTTGTCCATCACCTTTAGTTTTTATTGGTTTCAGAAGTGAGAAAAGTCAGCTTTTGTATACTCATAACAAAGTAGTGTACTCTACTAGTCTATGCTACAAACCAGACTTCATATCGCTTTCAAACAGTGAAGTAAGAAGTGCTGCCAAAATTCCAACCGGAGCGTTTTCCACGCTGAGTGCTTCAACTTCTCGGATTAGCGCGAGGCCGAAACAGGTCGAATCAAGCTCAAACACTTACTGCGGAATCTTCGGAGATTGAGCTAGCGAATCACATAAAACTTGCGTAGAAAAGCTTTTTCGGAAATGAAGTTAATGGGGTCAGGCGCAACCCCTCAAAAGGTCAGGCCGCCTGAGCTTTTGAGGGGTTGCGCCTGACCCTCTTACTTGTCCTCAACATTCAGAAATCGCCCCTTTTTTGATATGAGTATTGAGCGCAATGCCTCTTCTTGTTATATTGAAAATTGGAAGCCAAACACTCCACCCCTCTGAAAATTATAGCTCTGAAAAGAGGGCTATCCAGATCTAAACTTGCCGTCAAGTTGCGTGTGGTTGTGCAATCGCAGAAAGTCGCGCCTACAGACTATTTAAAAAATAGAAACCAGTGAAGGCGTCTTCTTTAAAATATAACACCCTAAAGACTTAGAGGTGAAGCGAAGGGCGTTTAGGGGCTTTCATAGGGGGGGGGGGTCGTTTTTGAAGAACTTGTGCCTGACCTCTTGCTCAACCATGGCTGCCCGTTGGGCAGTGGCTTAGTCAGAGCCCCAAAATTACTATCCATGTGAGATCCCCATATGTCCAGATTTGCCTAGACGCTGCCTTTGAACTCTTGTGGGGGGGGGGTACTCCTCGAGGGCACCGTCTACTTGAATTCTTAACTTCTAGTTTTGTAGCTTCGGGGCCTTCTCATGTCCCTGATTCCGAATATGAGGTCGAGAAACCGCGAAAACCCCCAACACACATTTCGGAGAACCCTCAAACCGGTTTTCCGGAACTGTGATTGGTTGAGCGCGCACGGATGGGCGGGCATGGATGGGGAGGTCGGTGCCGCCTGGAGATCCTTTTGCATTTTCGTTATTTCCGAGCGATTTTTCCGAAGCGACATGTTAAGCCGCGACTTGGGTATTGATTTTATAGGGGGCCCTACTATCATATGCTGCCAAAAGCTCAGGATCCTCAACTTAGGGTGGACGGTACCTTCAAAGGCACCGTCACCCAAATCGCGACTTCCATGTTTTTGTCGCTTTCAGGCCTTCTGAAGGCTCCGATTTCGAACATGGACTCGAAAATCCGCGAAACCCCCAACATTCTCCGTTTGAGAACCCGCCGCAATAAGCGCAGGCGAGGACAAGCCTGCAAAGTAGGCAGGGGCGGCGAGCTCCACATTTGCTCCCTCCGAGCGGATTCTCGCTCCGAAAGCAATCTTTTGAGGCGCAACTTGGATTTCTGCCTAGTGTGGAGCCTACACTTATGCTCATATGCTCACTTATGCTTATTTCTCTCAAACCCTCACTTTAGGTAGACGGTGCCTTCAAATTTCGTCTTACCTGTTTATTGATTGTTCCTGTCGCAAATCACATGAACGGCGTGTTTCTCAATCAAGATGGCCGGTTAGATTACCTACTTTTTGGGACTAGTAGACCCGCTGCCATTAGGTTGGGACCGACACTTGCTCAGGGTGGCGAAATGTCATCAACAACGGTGAAACTACATCATTGACTAGTTTATGATGACATTTGGTGTTGTGTCTTACTGCAAATACTAGAACAACGGATGAGCACATTTGTGCACCAAACTGCTCATCCAATTGTACCATGCTAGGGAGCCTCCAGACCGCGCTGGTTGCCGCTAATGCAGTCGGTAGCCGCTTTCGCGCTGGTTGCCGCTTTTGCAGCCGGAGCGCATTAGGTCGGACTTCCTCCGTGGGGAGCATAGCGCGAACATATTTGCAGTAACGAAAGAAGGTTTTGTATTCTTTTTGATAGGAATCTACTACACTATGCTGTATGAAGGATATTCTACAAGCTAATATCCCTTTTGTCCACTTAAGGTCTTTCTACTTCACTGCACTGAAGTAAACGATAAAACGGATTCTATCACCTTTGCGAAACGGATTCTATCATTTTTTTTTCGTAAGCTGGCTGTTTCTCTCATGCTGAGTGTACAATGTAGCCCCAAGAGGAAAAGGACAACAAAATGACTCTGTGTTTGAAGGAAATCGTTCAATCAACATAGTGAAGTAGAACCAAAGGCAAGCACATCAGAATCTTGTCCCACAACGACATGCTCCTACAGCATAGCGAAAGAGCTCAAATATAGGTCATTTACAAAATCATGACGACGTTGGTCGCGCCATCATCACGATTTTTGAATCCTCTACACAAAGAAAACGATATTGCTCACCCAGCATAGCAATATAGTCAAAATGAAATCTAGAGCACAGTGAAGTTCAAACGAAATCGGTCAATTAGCAAAAAGCGTGACCTAGAAATGGAAACTAGTAGAAACTCCGTTTAACATCAGCTCATTTTAGCATAAACGAATAGCTGCGCAGTGGGAGAAGGAAGCTCCTTCGGACAACTATCGAATCGCACAGCATCGAAGAACACCGAAAGAGCGAAAGCCGGATCAAAACCACATCAGTAAAAGAACTGTTTGCTTATATATAGAAGAAATTTGAACAAAAGAATAGCGAAAAAAATCAAAATTCTTGCGGATGCCACTAGTGTGAATAAGCTCCCGCTATGTGCACGGACAAGATCTGATCCAGTGCGCTTGAGCTGCAAAGGCGGCAACCGACGCGAAAGCGGCTATCGGCTGCAATGGCGGCAACCGGCGCGGTCTGGAAGCTCCCTTAGCCGTCATTTTTGTAAAAGGGGGTGGGACCCGTCATTCTTGTAGAAAGGGGTACAATCCTTGAGTATTCGAGTGAATCACAAAAGAAAAAAAACCGCAGACAGCAAATTTGCTCTTTTTCGTCAAAGGTCGGCACAATGAAGCACAATCTTGGAACTATGCCAAAACGGAACTAAGAGAAATCCTGTATCGAGAAGGCACTACGAGAGGAGGAACGCGCGGCCACTGAACCCTCGTGAGGCGGAGCCTCACCCAGGGTGCAAAAAAAGCGCAAGAAAGTGTCGATCTCATGAAAAAACGCTTCATCACCCGAGAAAAGGTTCTTCAACGCCTTTCCTTCAAATGTAACCAAATTGCTGGCGTTGATAACGAAGGCATTGTAGTAGCTTGTTCCTGAGTCAGCGGCGGATGCGGGTGGCTCTTCAACAGCTTATATCCTATCCTTTCCGAGTTATTCATCATTATTTACTCAATTTAAATCTTTCGAGATTTTGATTACAGTTTTAAAGCTCATAGACACCAACAGTTATGCTCTATAGTTCATTTATGTGACATTTTTGTAAGTTTTAAGTATGTTCACACGTTCATTTTTGTCTTGATTGCTCGATACCATTATTCATAAATGCTGGGCCAATATATTTTCCTGTTGGTGGCGACGTCGCCTAACATCCAGATCTTCTAGATTACAAAAATTCCTACGAAACGGATCGCTATATTCAGCGTGATCGGCCTTTGCCGGAATATGTGGATGTGGATAATCTTGAGACTGGATATACGTATCCGGTAATCCAGCCGAACAATAAAGAACAACCTACAAGCTTGAGTTTTTTCCGAAACTTACGCAAATGTGAGAAGTTTCATCAGATCCCTATTCTTTATATTATAAAGAGCAAAACGGATAGTAGATATACAGTGTCGATTTTTTATCCCAATTAGAAAGGGAATTGGTTTTCAACCAGGCGCCTCTGTGAGAAGATGGAGGCCATGAAACCCAAACAGAAAATATTCTCAAACTGTGTATGTCCTATTTGAAACAACGTTTGAAGTCCTTTGTGGTCATTTTGCAGCAGCAGAAAACGCGAGTGTTCGCAGCAGAGTGCCCTTTCTGTCTGCTTTTCGTTGACACTGATAACAGTGGAGTTCAAAGTGTTTTTGAAAGCTGCAGAACGGTGGGCGAGTACAAAATGGACACAAATTCACGAAATGAATAAGGTAGAGTTGCCTAGACATAAGTGTATGATGTTGATTTTTGAAAGTTGTCTTGTTGAAAACAATTCCTAGCTCGGTATTTACTGAAGTTGCGAATTTGAATTTTCAAGAAGAAAACCAAAGTGGTCGAATCGTTATAATAAGCACTCTGAGTGTCTAGGCAATATCTTACTCAATTAGTTTTTTCAGATATATTTCTTGAAATCTTGGTGGTGACACGAATTTGATTTGATTGGGCCAATTTGTTATCAAGACAGTCTTTCAAAGTAAAATATGCCTCCCAATTTTTCACAATTTTCTTTTGGAGATGATAACAAATAAATCTAAAACAAGTCGTTTTGTTTTGCTACCCAACCGGGATTATTCTGAAGAAAATTCAGATTATTAGGTTGGCACGAAAGTTCGTTCGCACCACCATCAGAAATTCATAACTCTACAAATCCACAACGAATTTGTACGAGCAAAATTTTGCTTAAGAGGGGAACTCATGCTCTTTGCACCTGTACAAATATAAATGACGGAGATAGAATCAAAACCAAAATCACTCAAAATTTGAATTTTTCGTGTAGGGTCATAAAAAATCGGAAACCTGCAACAAAAATCGGAGCAGTCAGTACTGTAGGTTCTTTCACCAGCTCTTTCTAACGGTGCAAAGTTTGCGCTGATTGAGCGTCTCTATAAAAAGTTATGATTTCCCTAAAAACATTTATCTGCTTTTTTTCGCTTAAATGTACCTTCATGCGTATTTCGTTCCCAAGAATGTGTTTTTATCAGTAATTTCGCAGTTTTTTGACTGATTTGCAGGCAATATGGCTGCATATATTTTATAGATGCTTAGCGAAGTGAGAACTAGAAAAAAATCGGAGTTTTCATATTTAGAGCGCACTCGACATACAGCTAACCGCAGGCCTGCGCTCAAATTTATGCCCTCAAGCTCCTTCTGCAATGTTCTTAAGAGTAGAGTAATAACATTGTTGTAATAAGTAGAGTAATAACATTGTTGTATGAAGTAGAGTAATAACATTGTTTGTACGTATGAGAGCCCGAATGCAGTGGTTGCAGATTTCCGCAGGTCTTAGCATGCAGGCTGATTGAGGAATTCATCCTGCAAACTTTGCAAAAAGCCTTGAACTTATTCTTGGTTCTGATCGTAATGCTTATATGAGTCACAAGGCATCATACAATGCAGGGTGTACTCAATATCTAGAAGCTGAATAGTGGCAAAAAATCAGGAGAGGTACCACTTGGTAAGTATTTTAAGATTGCCTAAACATTATCATTTAACCGCGAGAATTTATGCTTTGAAAACGAAGCAAAATGTGACTTGGCCAACAATCGCGAATATAGTGTACAAACTTATTTTTATGTAAACGATGCTTTACATCATTTTGAGCTTACAAAAATAACATAATCCAACTTTGGAGGCAAAAATTTGAGCGCAGGCTTGCTATAAGGTCTATATCGGGGTGCGCTTTGAATATGAAAAAAATTTTTCTGGTTCTCACTTCGCTAAGCATCTATAAGATAGATGGAGCCCTATCGCTTTCAAACCAGTCAAAAAACTGCGAAATTACTCATAAAAACACATTCTTGGGAACGAAATACGCATGAAAGTATTTTTAAGCGAAAAAAAGCAGATAAACGTTTCTTATAAACGTATGACACAACTGGACTGAAGCGACTGTTTTGACTTTTGATTATGTATATGCACAAAATACTTTGAAAGCCGAGAATTACTTTAGTGGACAGAAACCTTAGGTGGAATTATAGTTTTGGTCAATCTTCAAGCCTGCTTTTTTCGAAATTTTTGATTTTTTCCTGAATAATCAAACAGAAACAGGATCCGTTCTGGTTACTGATGGCAGGCTGCTACACAAATACAACTGTACCAAATTTCAGATCAATTCGTTGAGAAGCAGATGAGTTACGGCAGTTTTTAGGGTGGAATTATAGTTTTGGCCAGCACTGTATAGGGTGTCATTCATGATCCAAAATTACATAGGCAATGTAATCACCTCTCTATCCACAGAATCCTTATACCACGCGTTTAATCTATAACACAATAATGCTTGAGCAATCATTCTAAAGCAGAATTGCTTTCACTGTATATTTACAGTTCTATTATGGAACACGATATTTCTATCTGTTCTCATAATTGGCGCAGCTATAGCAGTGATACTGACCATCGTTCTTACAGCTCGGAGGTCGCCGAGAGAAGGTACGATGTATGCCATTTTGATAAAAAGTTTGTGGTAGCGATATCAGTTTCACAACCAATATGACTTGTCAAAAAAGTGTATTTCGAATGTTCTATAATTTGTGCTAAGGAATGTCAGTGTTCCGATGCGATGCCGCTGAGAATGCAAAACATTGCTGCAAAAAACCACTACAACCAAGTAGTCACCTCTGGCGTCGTCATCACTTTCATAAATTTTTTTACTAGGCTGGAACTGTTGCACAACATTTGGAAATATTAAGACACTTTGTTGACTCATGTTCTCAGACAATTGACTGGAATATTCACAGAACATTTGGAAAAATTCCGTAAACATGTTGCGGAAGTTCTCAAATGAGGCGCTGCAAAAGTTCCGAAGAATGCGAACCACAACAGCAAAAGAGAACACCTAAGGGAGATTTTAACCTCACTATTTACTGCGAGACTCATTCACCATCCTCTGCACTGAGGCTAACATGTTCGACGCCCTATAGTTGTTGACGAGACAACATCGCAATACGTAACGCATTCAAAACCCGGCGAAAGTACTGGCGGACCAAAGTGCTGCGGAACCGCTGGCATTTTTTAGAATTTCCTCGGCGCTCTGCAAAAAGTCCTGCGGAATCCCCTTTTCAACTGGTCTGACGTGACAATCTTGCGGAAGTTCACATTCTCAAGGATTCCACTTTTGTGATAGTAAACAAAGTTCTGCGGAACAGCTGCAAATTTGGCATGTCCTGCGGAATTCCGGTGATTGTTTGAGTTTATGGAAGCAAAAGTTCTGATCTGATTAGCCATTGAGTGAAAGCTTACTGAGGACGAAAAGTTCATGTGTGGATGTTTCCTGAGTTGACTGGAATTTATGACAACCATAATGTCAGTAAGATAACAAAAGTTGTAAATTGCTGTGAAGGCAGCAACATATAGAAATTTTTCGGACATCAGGACAGTACTTCTCTATATACAGGGTGTCCCAAAAAAATGTGCCTACTGTTTGATTGTAAACAACTCTTCTGTAATGAAGTGTTTCGACAAGCTTTAGGTATCGTGCTGTAGAGCGAGGTTAAACTTAGATTTACTGTAGGAGCGAATCATCATCGCTCTTCATTACTGTAGGATTACGGTACAAACTTCGACAAGGATTTTAGGCCTTTGGAGGCTATATTCGGCCTCGGAACAAAACCAAACAAGCCAAAAACTCTTATTCTACGGTAATTGGAGCCGCTTCTTTCGAATGTGAAATTCCCATTTTACTGTGATGCTTCTTTCCCAAGTTATCCCTGGGAGACCGTAATAATTGAATTCCCAGTACTTGTCAGAAATGTGATCATACCGTCAAAAAAAAACTGGAAACACTCGTAAAAAGTTGTTAGGTGGGATCAGCATGCGCGAAAACCCTAATACACGATTTTTCAGATTTTTTGAAAAAAAATTTTGTTAAGTGGTATAGTTCACAATGGTTTCATATGTTGAAAGTTCTTACCGCAATCCTACAGTAATGAAGGGCGATAGATAATTCTTTCTATACAGTAAATCTAAGTTTAACCTCGCTCTACAAAATGGTACCTAAAGCTTCTTGAAAAATTTCATTACAAGAGAGTTATTTACAATCAAACAGTAGGCACATTTTTTTGGGACACCTTGTATATTGGAGATATGGATGAAGAAGTTCAAGGTTTTGAATGTTTTTTGCAAACTAGAAACGAAACACTCAATGTAGTCTGGAGACGGTGAGTTCACGCAAAGAAAGGATCAAAACCGCTCAAACTTCAGATTAGCCTTGTAAAAAATTGGACCGCCTTTAGTGCGGTGACTGTACGGGGTGAGGGGTGTGTGGGGCGCTACGGAAATATTTTCTTGTTAGAGGAATTACCCTCGCCTCCAAAATTCAAAGTGAACTAGCTCATGTTTGGTTTATAAAGGGTAACAGACTTATTTTAAGATTTTGAAAGGGTTTTTCGCCTACAATCTTCGGTTATGTAACAAACTAGCTTGCTTACCCGGCTCCGTCGGCTCTGTCAAAACACTGTAATAAAGGCCCTATCCCTATCCCTGTACAGCCTTTCCCTGTGCCCACTTCTACACTTCACTTCCCGTTCTCTGGATTGTTTTCAAAATCCGCATGCCCACTTACCCCCTTGTGCCAACTCCCAGCCCTCCAGCTCAAATTTTGAAAAAATCGATAAAATCGATAAAAGTATTAGGTAATACCAAAAACTAATATTGTATTCGTAATCAACATGCTCGATTACCCCCCCCCCCCCCGTGCCAACTCCCAGCCCCGTAGCTCGAACTTTGCAAGAAATCGATAAAATCAGTAAGTATTGGATAATTCCAGAAACTAATATTCGTAATCAGCATGCTCACTTACCCTCCTGTGCCAACTCCTAGTCCCGTAGGTGAACTCTGCAAAAAATGTTCAAAAACCCATAAAATCGATATCGATCGATAACGGAAAGTAGCCTATGACACGCTCCCTGCCCCGAAGTTTATGTGTGCCAAGTTTGGTCTAAATCGGTTTGGAAATAAAAATTTCTACTTCGCACATACGTACACACATACAGACAGACATACAGACATACAAAGAGACATTCAACTTTATACATAAGACTAGCGACCCGTAGGGTAGCTAGTAAGTGGGTGGGGCAGTTACATTAATATGCGCCATTGATTAACTAAAAATTTCAAAGAAGAGTTTTTCCATTTTTTCATCGACCACTCGCGTTCAAGAGTAGTGGTAGAAACAAGGCACCATGCTCCCAAGAAAAGAAGCTACTGCCAATGAATATCTGCAAAGCATCTTTGTTGTTGCTCTTGCAAATACTTCGAGATACCACAGCTCTCAAACAAGGAAGCTAAAGGCTACTGCACGACGAAGACGCAGAAGCGCTATCAGCTGAGCGGGCGCGAGCGCGGCGCGCGCGTCTCTTCACCGTTATAAATCCTGCGTCTCATGCGCTTTGCGGCTAATAAAGCAGCGTTTGCTCTCAAAGTTAATGCGCCTTCGTAATGCAGTAGCCTTTACCTCCGATGTCACCTGTCTAGACAGCTTATTCATCCCAAACTCAAATTAATTTCGAGGAAAAGTGTCATGCTATAAAAAGCGTCAAGTTGTGTCTTCCAGCAGCAGAAAAACCCAGATATGTGGATAAAAACGAAGCAGCATTTTCTTCGATAATGTCTTGCCAGTAAACGGACGCATTTCTTAGAACAAAAAGCTGGCTCGACGCCTTTTGAGAGGCAATCTTACCGAAATTGTCCCGTCGCATAAAAACCCTAAGTCTTTTCTTTCCTCGGAACCAAGCTCCCATGCTTTGCTTTTGGGGGCAAAAGAGTGTTTTTTTTTTGTGAAGTAGAAGGACCAAATTTAGCAAATATGTCCTGTCGCATGGGTCTGTCCTTCCCTCAAGGCCAAGCTCCCTGTGCTTTTCTGCTTTCAGAGACAAAAGTATGGTTAAGTAGAAGGGGCTAGAAAAAAAATTTCCAACAATTTCCTCTATAACTGAACATTGACACTTAGAAATTTTTAGCGCAAATATCTTGCTACCCGAGGCCATGAACAGGGTCAATCAAGAGGTGTGGCACACGATTACTGTTTACGACCTCCCCCCCCCTGAACTATGTACCTAAGATAGCTTTACATGAAGGTCCTGTTAAACATAACGGCAACATATCCATAATTAGTATGTTAGTCAACCCCTGTAGACAAAGTTTGAGCGAATTCTGAAGTTTCAAGATACTAAGCCACCTAAGTGACATGGTCATTTTCCAACATGATTAACTTTGTTTCAAATATGAATTAGCTATTCGTTTTTGCACTCAAAACGAAGCACTACTTCTTCTCTGTCCATGCCAGAAATCCCGTTTTAAAAGACCTCCAAACTATGGATTTAGAAGTCAACCATAATCTCGTTTTTCCCATTTATCGGTTTTGATGGCTGTGCGGCCACACCTTTTCAACGGGGGTGCCACATCCCATTAACTATATCAAAAAAACACTTTTAGCGAACAATACTCATTTGAATCGATAGCTTAAATTTCGCAGATTCCATAAGGGTGATTTGAGCCTGATTCATCTTCTTAGCTCTGAGTAATATCAGCCATCAAAACCGAAAAATGGGAAAAACGAGATTTTGGTTGACTTCTAAATCCATAGTTTGGAAGACTTTTGAAGCGGGATTTCTGGCATGGACAGAGAAGGAGTAGTGCTTTGTTTTGAGTGCAAAAACGAATAACTAATTCGTATTTGAAACAAAGTTAATCATGTTATAAAATGGCCATTTCACTAAGGTGGCTTAGTATCTCGAAACTTCAGAATTCGCTCAAACATTGCCTGCAGGGATTGACATGCTAATTATGGATATGATACTCATTAAGCTTCGTAGCGCGTCTTTGGCATGCTAAGATAGTCTACCTCATGTGATTTTTTGCGTGGGGTTACCTGACAAACTGCTCACAAATGTCATTTCATAACTAATATCAGGATAACCAACTACGACCCCTCCCCTTTTGACTCCTCAATACGACCCCCCAGGTGTGGCGTGCCACAGCCCACGCTTGACTCTGGCCATCAGTCTTTTCTCTCCTCAAGGCCAAGCTCCCTGTGCTTTTTTGCTTTTAGGGGCAGAAGTGTGGTATTTGATTTTGTGGTTTTTGCAAAGTTTGAGGGGCCAAAAGTTCCAGTGAACATGTCCTGTCGCAAGAAGCTCATGAGTCTGTCCTCCCCTCGAGACCTGTATTCCCTGTGCAGTCCTGTTTTCAAAGGCAGAAGTATGGTTTTTGCAAAGTAGAAGGACAGAAGTGAATTCAAAGCAAGTTTCTGTATAATTAAACATTCCAACTAGAAGTTCTTAGCGAAAATATCTTGCTGCTTAAGACCATGATTCCTTTCTTCCCTCGAAACCAAGCTTTCTGTGCTTTTCTGCTTTCAGAGACAGAAGTATGATCTTTGCAAAGTAGAAGGGCGGAAGTGAGTTTCAAGCAAATTTCTGTATAATTAAACA